AAAAAAAAAAAGCCAATTGAATTGTTTTGCAGCTGGAGGCATGGGCAAGGGGGTTCCCCAGGCAGTAAATTCCCCACAGGTGAGCTGAGGGCTAGGGCTGAGCATCGGGTGGGTCTCCCGTTCCCTGTGCTCCCCTGCACAGCAGCCTCCCTCCCGGGCTCTGGGGCAGCCTCAGGAGGGGCAGGCTGGGAGGGGTTGTTGCAGCTGTTCACTTGGGCAGGACGTCAGAGGACTCGGACACCAGCCTCCCATCGCGGGTCTCAATCTTCTTCACAACCACGGCCTTGGTGGAGCTGGTGCGGCTGAAGGTGGAGCCCGCACCAGAGCCAAAGCTGGAGCCCAGGCCGTAGCTGAGGCCGGGGCTTGTGAGGTCCCCATAGGCAGAGCTCAGACCACCTGCATAGCTGCTGGTGGTCTTCGTGTGGATACCCATGTTCTGCATCCCAGACTCCAGCCGGCTCTCCTCGCCCTCCAGTAGCTTGCGGTAGGTGGCGATCTCGATGTCCAGGGCCAGTTTGATGTTCATCAGCTCCTGGTAGTCACGCAGCTGCCGTGCCAGGACATGGCATTTCTTAGAGACTTAATGGGATACACTGAGCTTACGCCTTTCCAAGAGCTTACCAGCCTGCCCTTGTTCATCTTGGAGCGTATGGTGGTATTGTGGTGGGCCCTTACTGGACACTCTGCCAAGTAACTGGAACGGCACTTGGCACTCTTGTCCAATTGGCTATCCCTTTCACCCTGGCATTTCATCAACCAGAAAAAGAAAAACCACCGCACTGTAACCTACGAGAAGCCCCTTAAGGGTCTTTTGACTCTCAAGTTTATTGAGATATAATTGGATTCCCACAGTGAGTACCTGATAAATTCAAAGCCCAAGATCAAATAGCTGCAGGATTTAAATCAATATTTCCATGGGTAACTATTAATAAATATGTAGATTATGGTATTCAGAGACCAGAAAAGAAACAAAATGTAGATTAGATAAATTACATCTATTGTAATCAACAGCAGTTTATTATTTACACCAGAAATGCTGTCAAAGAAATAGCTGACCAATTAAGGCCTACTAGCCAGATAACTTAGAAAAACAAAATGGCCCTAGACATAATATTAGCTAAAAATGGAGGAGTTTGTGTTATGATTAAAACTCAGTGTAGCATCTTTATCCCAAACAATACTGCCCCCAATCAGAACATAACAAGGAACTTACAAGGATTTACCACTTTCTCGAATGAATTAGCTAAAAATTCTGGAGTCACCCGTTTTTAGAACGGCTAGAGAGATGGCTCAGTAAATAAAAAGAAATATAGCCTCAATTCTTTTTTTTCTTTTTTCTTTTTTTTTTAAAGACGGTTTCACCGTGTTGGTCAGGCTGGTCTTGAGCTCCCGACCTCAGATGATCCGCCCGCCTTGGCCTCCAAAGTGCTTGGATTACAGGCATGAGCCACTACGCCCGGCCAGCCTCAATTCTTTCTTCTCTTACAGCTGTAATAGGTTTACCCATTCTTGTTGCGTGTTCTGTCATACCGTGCATCCATGGGCTAGTACGAAGACTTACATAAACAACACTTATTAAAACCTCCCAGGCCAGGCTCGGTGGCTCGTGCCTGTAATCCCAGCATTTTGGGAGACCAAGGTGGGCGGATCACGAGGTCAGGAGATCGAGACCATCAGCCTGGCTCACATGGTAAATCCCTGTCTCTACTAAAAATACAATAATTAGCTGGGCATGGTGGTGCACGCCTGTAGTCCCAACTACTTGGGAGGCTGAGGCAGGAGAACCGTTTAAACCCGGGAGGCAGAGATTGCAGTGAGCCGAGAGAGCTCCATTGCACTCCAGCCTGGCAAAAGAGCAATACCCCAACTCAAAAAATAAAATAAAATAAAAGCTCCCTTAGTTCTACTTCACCTCATTGAGATAAACGTTTCCTTTTAAAAGATCACGCTAGTGCTCGCTTCAGCAGCACATAAACTAAAGTTGGAACGATGCAGAGAAGATTAGCAAAACAAAAATTAAATATTTAAAATATATATAAAAGATCACGTGAAACAACAAAGCCGACATGTTAAAAAGCTTTAAAAAAGGAAACTGTAAAATACAATAAAATTCATCTTCGAAGGTTTTAGCCTGTTAACTTCCCTGTTGCTTGTTCTCACAATCAATTTTCTTGTTCTCTATGCCTCCTTGTCCCTAGTTACTATAACAACCTTCCTTCCTGTCAACTCTAATCAATAACTCACATCTGTTGCCTTGGTTACTCACTCTGCACCCATTCTATCCTTCAAAACCCCAAGTCCCACCACTGTGACTCATACATCGCCCTTCCCATCCTTACTTGGAATAATATTCAGTTTAGATTGTGTAGTCTGATCCCAGCCCATAGGGGAGTGACACAGATGTACATTCTTTACGTTAAAAATAAAAGCCCTGGGCCAGGCAATCCCAGCACTTTGGAAGGCCGAGGCGGGCAGATTACCTGAAGTCGGGAGTTTGAGACCAGCCTGACCAACATGAAGAAACACCATCTTTACTAAAAATACAAAATTAGCCAGGCATGGTGGCGTAATGCCAGCTACTCGGAAGGCTGAGGTAGGAGAATCACTTAAATCCAAGAGCCAGAGGTTGCGGTGAGACAAGATCGTGTCACTGCACTCCAGCCTGGGTGACAAGAGTGAGACTCCTGCTCCAACCAACCAACCAACCAACAAACAAACCCTTCCCTCCTTTGTTCAGGGTGCTCTTGCAATCCTGATTAACACAAACAACACCCTTTTTGCAGAAGTAACTTGCCTTTTTTTTTTTTTTCTGTGATGGAGTTTCGCTCTGCCGCCCAGTCTGGAGTGCAGTAGCGACATCTCAGCTCACTACAACCTCTGCCTTCAGGGTTCAAGCTATTCTACTGCCTCATCTCTCAAGTAGCTGGGACTACAGGCATCCACCACCACGCCCTGCTAATTTTTGTAGTTTTAGTAGAGACGGTTTCACCATATTGGCCAGGCTCGTCTGAAACTTATAACCTCGTGATCTGCCCGCCTCTGTCTCCCAAAGTGCTGGGATTATAGGTGTCAGCCACCGAGCCCGGCCCCGTTCACCTTTTAAATACATTCAAAAACAGAAAGAGTAAAAAAGAGAGAATTTTCCCATGCTCTGGGATGGGCCTGGCTCAGCTCCTGGAGCAAGCCCAGTTTGAAAAGGCTGCAGCTGGCCGGGCGCGGTGGCTCAAGCCTGTAATCCCAGCACTGTGGGAGGCCGAGGCGGGTGGATCATGAGGTCAAGAGATCGAGACCATCCTGGTCAACATGGTGAAACCCCGTCTCTACTAAAAATACAAAAAATTAGCTGGGCATAGTGGCGCGTGCCTATAATCCCAGCGACTCAGGAGGCTGGGGCAGGAGAATTGTCTGAACCCGGGAGGTGGAAGTTGCGGTGAGCCGAGATCGCGCCATTGCACTCCAGCCTGGGTAACAAGAGCGAGACTCCGTCTCAAAAAAAAAAAAAAAAAAAAGAAAAGGCTGCAGCTGAGGCCGTCACTCTTCACTCAGCCCAGCATCTGATCCCATCTGTCACTCAGAGCCTGAGGGGGTGGGACCTTAAGTATTGTCCAATCACGGACGCTGGGCTGGAAACCGTCCAATCAGGCACGCAGCTGGAGCGAACAGCACCGGCTTTGGGGTTTGGCCCGGCCTTTGTGTCTCGCCGCAGCGGGAGCTCCAGGTTTGTCTTCAGTGCTCTGCGTCCTCTGCTACTAGAGGCCCAGGCTTTGTGGCCCTGTGACCTGCAGGTGCACGGAGATCCGCAGCTAAGACGCCGGGACCCCCGGAAGCCTAGAGATGGTGAGAGCGCCGGTCCAACATACCGAGAGAGGGGAGGGCCTGGTTGAAGCCGGTGGGAAGTGGCTGTCGCGGGACTCGGGCCTCCCTGCGGTTGGCGGGTAGCCCAAGGTCCAGGAGCCTGAGGAAGGAAGATAAACTTAAGTACAGTTTTATTAAGAAATATTTTATTTTAAGCCAGGTGCTGTGGCTCATGCCTGTAATCCCAGCACTTAGGGAAATTGAGGCAGGCAGATCACCTGAGGTTAGGAGTTTGAGTGCAGCCTGGCCAAGAAGGCGAAACCCTGTGTCTACTAAAAATATAAAAACTAGCCAGGTGCAGTGGCAGGTGACACCTTCCACGACACCTCAACCTTGAAAAGCTGAGGCAGGAGAATTGCTTAAACACGGGAGGTCGAGGTTGCAGTGAGTCGAGATCACGCCACTGCACTCCAACGTGGGCGACAGAGTGAGACTCCATCTCAAAAAAAAAAAGAAAAGAAATATTTTAGTTTGACCACTGAAGACAAGTTCAGCTAAAAATTTTTTTTTTTTTTTAAGACGGGGTTTCACCATGTTGGTCAGGCTGGTCTTGAACTCCCGACCTCAGGTGATCCACCCGCCTTGGCCTCCAAAGTGCTTGGATTACAGGCGTGAGCCACCACGCCCAGCCTCAGCTAAATTTTTTAATGAGAGAAAGGAGAAAATGTGCAGAGTGTGTCTGGTTGTGTGATAGATAAGAAAAGAGAGCACCGTCTAAGACATGGTGGGAAGGGTGTTTCTTTCCATAAACTGTTCCCGGAGCACACAGGATGGAGAATTTTATTAATCACAAATATTTTCCAGGATTATCTATGTGTTTCATCTTTCCCCATCTCATTTCTTTGTTCTATGCATTTCTTCCATTTGGCTTTTTCTGGGCTGCATCTTAAACCGGTAAACATAACTAAAGTGTAGCTTGACTTAAATAAGCTGTCTAATTATATTCATGTTGGAGAGTTCTGTGAGTAGCTCTACAAAGTTACTGAACTTCTGGGAGGTTATAGGAGTCCCTAGTTTTTAAACAGTACTGTAGCTCAGAAGCATAGATGGGCCTATGGGGTTTGTGACTGGCAACTGCAGTGAGGACAATGTGATGGGACTGAGCCCTGAATCAGGGTCGGTGCTGACTCGGGGTATTGTCAGAATTCAAATGTTAGACGATAAGTCGGTGTTGGAGAATTGTTTGATGTTCAGCAGATGCTACACATTTGGTGCCAGAAAAAAGATACCACGGAGGCCTTACCTGAAATAAAACCCTGGGTGTCTGGGAATGGGAGGCTCTGCTGTCCTGTACAGAGGCTGTCACACTGCCCGTTGTCCTGTGATTCCAGGTCTGCTCCCAGGGTGACAGAGGACTGAAAACCTAGAGGAAAGGAGCTCTAATGACAGACTCCCTTTTCCCACAGCTGCCACCACAGGATTCCCACCCACTCACAAACACACACTCCACATATCGACGTGTCCACACCCCTCCCAGGACTAGACACCACCCTCGTAAACTTCACCACAGCATTTTTTATCCTAATGTTTCTTGCCAAAAAACACTGCTAGAAAATCAAAATCTCTGGAAATTCAGCAGTATTTTTTCCATGTCACCATTATAAGAAGAAACTGAGGCTGAAACACTGCTTTCACTTCCGTTACTGTGAAGGTACAATTCTACCCACAAGGCCTGCGGGCTCTCCTCCTGCAGCTCAGGCTTTACTCTCTGATGCGACACTAGAGTGCTGCTGTGACAAATGGGGTTCACAGCAAATGTGAGCTGTGCCTCAGTGGCAGATGGTAGAGGTCAGGAGAGGACACTAGCAACCAGGAGAAAGCCAGCAGGAGCACTGTAGCGCAGGGCCAGGGAGTACAGAGCCACTGCTCTAAAACGTAAATAGCCAAAAAGATAGAACCCTGTTCAGCCATTTTTGTAGTAGAGTGAAAGCCTACCTTCCTCAGGCACCTGGCTTCAGGCTGCTAAACCACCTCCTGTTATGAAGATGTGAGATTGTCATTGAATATAAGGAATTAACATACACAGCTGGCTTCTTCGATCTCTGGGTGAATTTAGGATAAACTGTGTATGATGTGGTGCTGTAAATTCTACTTGTGGACTAATTCTTAGTCCTTCATTCTGTGTTTGCCGTCTCTTGAGCAGATTGACTATGATGAATGTCACATTCAAGTATAATTGTGTAACAAAACAGTTTTCTTTCCGTTCCATTATTGTGGGTTTTCTCTGGGGCTGGAGAAAATGTTTATTTTAATTATTGTTTCCAAACACTGTCTAGAATTACCAGAGATAATATAAACACATAAGGTGCCAACCACAATTTACTCCAGAGGGGACTTCTCTCAGTCCTCCAGTCAACTCACACTTGTGCGTTCTGTCTCCTAAATATGTAGGCAGAATTGTGTCTCTGCCTATTTGCTATCTATAGTCCTCTACATCATTTCTAGAGAGGCTAGAGCAAATTTCTACAAACTTCACAGGGCAGCAATCAATCATTTTACCTCTTTCAATGACTCTTGTATCTTCAGACCTGCACCTGATTCAGAGACTATGAGGCCCAGAAACCCAATCAGTGACACGTGTGCACTGAATAGACGTGGAGACATGGGAATCTCCACTTTCCCTTTCCTCCTCTTGCCAAAATGCTCACAAATGTACAGGTAACCCCTGCTGCTACTCCAGCCATTCAGGCCCCAAATCTGCAGCTCCCAATTTTGAATCCAGATCTTGAGATTTGGGAAATAAAAAATTTGTATCAAAGAAATGCAATTTCTGGGCTGGGCGCAGTGGCTCACGCCTGTAATCCTAGCACTTTGGGAGGCCGAGGTGGGTGGATCACCTGAGGTCAGGAGTTCAACACCAGCCTGGCCATCATGGTTGGTGGATCACCTGAGGTCAGGAGTTCAAGACCAGCCACCCCATCTTATTTAAAAAAGAAAAAAAGAAAAGAAAAAAAAGAAATGCAATTTCTTTTGGTTATCAAACTCAGACATTAAAATGAAAGTGCAGTTATGTCCTTCTCCCTCCTTGAACTATCTATCCATCTCTTGAAACTGTTCACTATTGCCACAAGTAGCTATAAATTAAGCTCATTATGCCACATTGGACACTATATCCAATACCCTAAACCATAACAATATATACACGATATACATCTAATCAGTAATCAGTATTATTTCTGACAGACAACTTTGCACGTGCCCACTCTCTGTCCCTGTCTGTCATCTTTACAAATTCTCTCGTTACTGCTGATAATCAGAGTGCATTTCCAGGCAACTTGCATCTTTGCTCCCAGGTTGTAATCCTCAAGCTTGACCCCAATAAAGTGTCTACTTGTATTCCTGTCGTCTTTTTTTTTTAGACTTCTGTAGAATGTGCTAGAGCAGCCTCTGTGAGGCGGTCTCTCCTTTGATTGTACTCCACTTCCTGTGATATGAAAGGATGCAGAGCCAGGTAGATCTTTCCTAGAATCTGCAGCTAAGGTCTGGCCTCTGCCTGGGGTTTACAAAAAAAGGGCCGGACTTTGGATTGAGAATGTACAGAAAACTAACAAAAGGCATTTTCTGCATTGTGAGATGTCAGCATAGACATCTTACAGCCCCCATTTGGGAGTGTGGCTATTTTTTTTTTTTTTTTTTTTAAAGATGAGGTTTCCCCATATTGGTCAGGCTGGTCTCGAACTCCTGACCTCAGGTGATCCGCCCACCTCAGCCTCCCAAAGTGCTGGGATTACAGGCATGAGCCACTGCGCCCGGCTTGGGAGTGTGGCTCTTTGAGATTTTCCACATCTTGTTCATTGACCTGCTACAGTTATGTGAGAGACTCCAGGAGGAAAGAGAATCTGATGTTAGAATTTTAAGGGTAAATAAGCATCTTTGGAGTGGGAGATCGAGGCCATGAAGTATCCAGAGCCATGAGCACAAGTATATTTACCTGTAAAATGTGATACTGAAGTAGAGTATTTTTGTTGTTTCTTTACCCAAGAGCTAGCAAATCAGAACAAATGATCTAGGAGCTGGAGCTCCATCGGCTCCAGGCCACTGGAAATTCTGTCAAAATCACCTAGACATCTTTGAGGCATTTGAGGATGTCTAGAGCAGAATTTTGTCACGTTGGCAAGAGTGGTTGATTCTGCTTCTGTCCTAATGTAAGAAAAATGAGTCATCTGGTGTTTGTCCATCCCCTCATACAAGAGGTGTCTTGGGATGATACCCAGATGAGAGTTTTTCCAGTTTCCTGGTACTCGGATGATAAACAAGGAGGAAATCTGGAGACCCAAATAGATAAACTAGTTGCTTACATTTTATATAAGCATTAAAAAAAATATGTGAAGCAGTTATGGTTCCTACAATCCAGAGACTTTTAGACTAGACTAGAAACTGGATAAAGAATTGAATTATGTATCATATGGTTGGTACAATAAATAGATGTGTCCAAAATCTTTGGCTTTATTTAGGCCACTTTGTTTATATTGTGATTTCTGATGTCTGCACATAAAGGAATATTTATGATCAGAAGAATTGTTATTATAATTTCTTTTCTTTTTTTTTTTTGAGACGGAGTTTTACTCTTGTCATCCAAGCTAGAGTGCAGTGGTGCGATCTTGGCTCACTACAGCCTCTGCCACCTGGGTTCAAGTGATTCTTCTGTCTCAGCCTCCCAAGTAGCTGGAATTATAGGCACCTGCAATGGCGCACAGCTAATTTCTGTATTTTTAATAGAGATGGAATTTCACCATCTTGGTCAGGCTGGTCTTGAACTCCTGACTACGTGATTTATCTGCCTCGACCTCTTAAAGTACTGAAAGTTCAGGCATGAGACACCATGTCCAGCCGTGTAATTTGTATTTCATTTTTTTCTTTTGACGGAGTCTCACTCTGTCCCAGGCTGAATTGCAGTGGCACAATCTTGGTTCATTGCAACCTTCATCCTCCCCGGGGTTCAAGCGATTCTCCTGCCTCAGCCTCCTGAGTATAGCTGAAATTACAGGTGCCTACCACGGCGCCCGGCTAATTTTTGTAATTTTTAATAGAGACGGGGTTTCACCATCTTGGCCAGGCTGGTCTTGAACTCCTGACCTCGTGATCCACCTGCCTTGGCGTCACAAAGTGCTGGAATTACAGGTGTGAGCCACCGTGCCCTGCTGTATAATTTCGATTTCTTTTACCTTGCTAAGTGTACTTATTTGTTTTCTAATAAAATTACTCTAGAATGGCCTGGCACAGTGGCTCACACCTGTAATCCCAGCACTTTGGAAGGCTAGGGGAAACAGATCATAAGATCAGGAGTTTGAGACCGCCCGAATAATAATGATAAAACTCTGTCTCTATTAAAAATACAAAAATTAGCCAGACGTGGTGGCGCACACCTGTAGTTTACACTACTCTGCAGGCTGAGGTAGAAGAACCGCTTGAACCCAGTAGGTGGAGGTTGCAGTGAGCCGAGATCACACCACTGCACTCCAGCCTGGGTGACAGAGTAAGACTCTGTCTCAAAAAAATATATACCATAGAAAATATTAACGGATTTGTTTGAATTGCACATTGTATATAGTATTAAGTTGACAGGGCAGTGGTTAGAAAAAATTAAAATTATGGAAACTCTGTGATTTAAGTTTTTTTAAGCACCTCATAAAAAACAAAACTGAAAGTATCCCAGTCGCATAGAGGGCAGAATTCTACATAGGGTCCTCACCTAGCCTCAGACCTGTTCAGATTCACCCTTTTGGGAGGTTATATTTAGATCTGACTCTACCCTGGAGTCTTGCCTCCCAAAACTGATGAGAAGAGATCAGAGTTTTGGCTGGTGAATCCTGCTGCCTTTCCAGAGCTGGTGCTCACAATTTCCTGAAACCCAAAAGCAGATAAATGGGAAAAGTAAAGTATGTATTGTAGAGTCTTCATTTTTAAATTTTCTATTAAAACCAGGGCTTGCAGAGGCATTCTATTTTGCAACAGGTTTTCTAGTCCTGTAGATCCAGTAGTTGCTGCACCCATCACAGAAAAGGTAAATATAAGTAGAATAAAATTTTTTCTAAATTACATGAAATTCTTTCTTTCTAGGCTGGGTGTGGTGGCTCACGCTTGTAATCCAAGCACTTTGGAGGCCAAGGCAGGCGGATCACCTGAGGTCGGGAGTTCAAGACCAGCCTGACCAACATGGTGAAACCCCGTCTTTAAAAAAAAAAAA